AACGACACACACACACACACACACACACACACACACTCTATGAAATGCCAACAGATGGCTGAAGTGTGTTTCCATAGCAAAGTAATTTACAATAATTGCCTTATGGACGCAAGTGCAATTTTCCATTATATTCATTTCATAAAATGTTATTATACAGCTGTGATTTGTGATGTATTCTATTGGAAATTGTGTTGAATATCTGAATTTTCATGTAGCAATAATTAGCTGTCTAAATACATGTAAACTTCAAATCTGAATTTGCTACAAAACCAGAAACTTCAGATACTTTACAAAAATTAAATACATTTTAAAATCAGACCATTAAGTATCATGGCTTTTTTAAACACCTTCCATTCTTCCTGTTTTCATTGGCAATATTTAACTTGTTATTTTGGAATTAATTAATTCAAATAACTTTTTAAAGGCATGCAAATTACATGGTTTCTATTCACTTTTTCCAGTCTATTTTATTGTTTTGGAGGGGAAAAAAACAGCTCAAATACAAAGGTCAACATCTATAAGTAAGGAATTGACCTGAAAAAGAACGTTCTTTGTTTCTAAATAAAAACTTACAAAGTCTCTTAAACGATCATGACAAATCAGTGCATATTCAGTATTGAAGGATGAGAAAAACTATTTTGAGCTTGGGCAAAGCTGGTAAAACTAGTAAGTGAATGTTAAGTTACTGTATAGAAACAACAAGTTACTATGTTTAAACAGCCTTTCAATTTAGCCTTTTTCATTTAGTCAGAAATATACTCTTTTTTAATGTTTTCTTTGCTAGTTTTTCTTTTCCTCTATAACCTGCTGTCATTGCCAATCTACAAATAAGTGGGACTAGATAGGGCTATAAACAGATGTATCAACTGGAATTGAGAATATAGCTATTGAGAATGAATGCGAAGCTAGCTGTTATCTCAACACCCACTGTGCTTCAACTCTCACTATATAACCAATTCTCATTAAAGAAAGTCAGCATCATAATGACGGTCATTACACAGAATTATAGACTATAACATTGATCAAATTTAGTGCACTGACAAGGAAAAAGTGCAGTGGAGTGCGAGATATTTGAGTATTGGGAAGATATAGGACTGAGTGATGGACAATCCTGACAAGAAGCAGCCAATTATAGCTTAAATTTCTGGCACATAACCAGTTGTGATTAATAGTCTTCCATTATATTACAGATATATTATTAATGTATTAAAAATGTCAGGCTTTGGCAAGAACTAATATGGCATGGTTCAGTTACTCTGCAGTATCTTCTTTTAATGAGCTCCCATTGACATAGAGAAAGATATTGACCAAAGCACATTAAATATCATATGCTATGGGTCACAGAGGCTTTTATAATAGAAACAAATTGTGTAGCTCTATTATATTTATGCCTGCAGTGTCATTCATTATGTGCATTCTAGTTCCTGGTTGTCTATTCCCAAACATATCTAATTTTAAAAAAAATTACCTTGCAAAAATTTTAAAATTACATTTCTGAACTTTAAAACAATACCAATTGTAGCTCTAAACTGCATGGCAAACTGTGGGTAATATAAACCAAGATTTGTTTTCATGAATACATACACATTTGGCCCTATGGAGTAAAACGCACCAACATAATAACCGACGCATTTCTTGTGCCCAAATCCTCTGTACCCTGTAGTCCTCTCTTCAGCAACTGACCATGTGTTCTGCTGCGTTAAACTGAAACGATCCATAAGGTCTGACATACAGAGACTGACATCTTCACTGACAGAAAGAAAGGCGACTGCAAACTACTGGAAACATTGATTATGCTAGCTGTATTCAATAAAATTGTGGCACATGCTATATTGGAACTAACCTTTCTTGGCAATAACTGTATTAATTGTAGAACATTTAGGCCTTTGAATTTTCACATGTGCCTTAACTCCTGCCTGAAAAACACCAGGCATTCCCTGGGCAACTGTGGAGCAACAATGCTGAAGCCCCTGTTGTCTCGGCTTTCTTCCAAACTATTTCTCTGTATGTAAAGTAGTGAATATATACCACATAAGATAAATTCATGTATACCTCTGTATCAGCAATTCTACATTAAGGGCATTAGTTGACCAAGACTAAAATCGTCTGTAAAAGGGGCTTTACACTCATTAATCTGTTTCCAGGTGGCTCACTTGAGTCAGGCCAACATCACACAGCATTTTAATTATGTAGACTGCTCAGTTACCCTCCCCCGCCCCAGCCCAACTCCAGCCAAAAAGTATATTCCAGCAGTAATTAATTATGGTAAAAGAAGCTGTCAATTCTTATTAGGATATGCTAGTAAACACCGCTCCTTGTATCTGTTTTGGTCACTGTGAATATTTCCCTCCTCCCACACACACTATGATAATTTTCTCATTATAAAAATTGTCACCTAGCAGTTTAGCATTCGCTGTGTTGCAGAAGTCTCTTGGTGTGAACTTGCTGTACTTACATTATAGATTCTCCCAAAAACTCAGTTATGCAGCAGATTTCATAAAATAGCAACTACTGATCATTTCTTGTACAGACCATGAATTAGAAAGAAAGGTGAAAAGTCAGTTATCTGATAACATATTCCAGTATCTGCTGGTGTAAGAAATAACATTTAGAGGTATAAAAAACTCAGTCAATGGCAGTTGTGTATGATAATAGTAGGACTATATAAAATAGTTTAAAGTGAAATCTATTGTAATTTTGCATCTACAATCAGAGTACATTAATATTTCCTATAAAATACAAGTAAAGGTGATTTTTGGTTGCTTTGGTTATAATTTCTAAATCACTTTTTACCCCAAGATGAATAAAATATGGTGTATACTACAAAATACAACTGGTATCTGATATATATTTTCACTGTTACCACTTATAAAACTTGGCATACAGTGGTATACTGACATACTGTGATATATTAAATCTGAGCATTTCATAAATGCAGTTATTCATCCATGCAAATTAAATATGTTCATGTGTTTAATTATATTACATCCTATCTGATTAAATGTAGCCCCTGAAAAATTCTCAGGATATTTCAAAATCAATACTTATACTAGAAGAACTTCACATTCTTTTTCTATTAAGTAGTTAAATACATTTGATGAAAATGGAAACATTTTCTTCTCTATTTTAGGAGAAAGGAGTAATAAGACTTCTAAGATCTATTAACAGAAGACAACAGAATATGAAGTTCTAAAAATAAAACTAGGGATTCTAAAATACCCTAAAAAAAATTTAGGTTGCCCTAAATCTTTCTTTGTCCTGTAAAATAGCACATGAACATTACCACTTACACTGTATCATCAACATTCAGCATGGAATGAAAATACTTCATAAACTTTCATTTTTAACTGCTGTAAGTTCTTAATATAAAACCTTTGTAAATTTTTAACCATCTTTTATTGGTTAAGTTAACTCTGTAGCACTAATTACATTATTTTGCAAGTGTTATGCACTTAAGATGAACAATCAAAACGGTTTACAGAAATAAGATTCCTAACAGAAAAAGTAACAGGCTCTTGTCAAAAGCTACTCATAGATCATCTATTGTGTAGTGATAGTAAAGTCTTCAGATTGTGATGTAAACTCAATATAATTTTAGCAGCTTTAGAAAGTTATGTTAAGGACTTAGCATTGGAAAAAAAATACCCCTATTTTGTTTTGTGCTGTTGCCAAATTCTGCACCTCTAATCCGGAAGTTGGTTCCACTCCTTATCAATGCCACTGCGGTGCAGGGCAGATGACAAGGAACAGGAAAGATCAGGCTACTGACATTAATTGGTGAAAAATGTCTGGGAAACATCCTTTAAAGCACCAACTGTCACCTTTGATTTTTTTTCCATGTAAATTAAAAAAAAATGTGAAGTCTTACCTAGGCCAGTGTCTAAACGTTGGGTTGCATTATGCTTGAGGCAAAACTGTAACTTGCTGCCTCTTTAAAAGCATCTGTACCACTTATTTAATTCACTTCCTCTTTTCAGATCTTTGCAAAAATTAGGCTGAATCTTAGTACACAAAATACAAAATATTGAAAAGCCTAATGCACTGCAATATAAATGTGTTCATTAAAGCCAACAAACATATGAACTTTAGGAGAGAATACAGGACCATTCATTTTATTGGCCTTAGCTATTCAGCATGTAGCAAATCATTTGTTTTTTGATGAATGATTTTTCATTTATTTTTTGAATGATTATGTAAACTGCTTGTCATTTCTGATCTGAAGCAGGGAATTATTCCTAGTTGAATAAGTGAACTGTCAATTCCACGGGATTGGGGTTATTCTACAAACCATTAATTCCACCCTTTTTATTAGATTTCTGATATTTTTCTGCAGAAAAAAATCTTTATTCATAGACTGCAAACTGTTTGAAGCAAATGACCCCCTTTTGGCAGAATCCTTCTGAATTCACTTCAAAAACTCTTTCATTCCCTCCTTTGCCAGTTTGTTGGCTTATTTAATACTCTTAATTTTAAAAAAATCGGAAGTTATAACCACTCATTTCCACAGTTCTGTAAAATCCTGATGTGTTTCAGTTTTGTTTTTGTTTTACTTCCCGGTTTGAAGTTAATGCCCTCCATCTTCTTTTTAAGTGCACAGCTGATTTCCATGCCGGGAAACTGATGAGAACAGATCGAAGGTTTGTATGTGAACCAAAATGTAATTCTATGTTTGAGGTAGGAGGGTAGCTCATTTAGAAAACAATCCAGAGAGGAGTTTCAATAGCATGACAATGTATCAGAAATGGATTAATCGACTTGTAGGTTGGGGGAGGGGTGGGAGCAATACCTGTGTCTACAGGTGCCCATTCAGGATGCAAAAACAAACCGAGCAATCGCCTGCTCTTTTAACGAAAGCGCCTTTGAAATACGCGCTAGTAATTTTCCTCCCTTTGCAAAGCACAGGGGCAATGTACTGGAAACCAGACACAGAAATGTGCTCCCCAGCGAGGAGGCCACAGCACCAGCAGAGGGCGCAGTTTCTATTTGTATCTAAATTCCACCCCCACCCTCCTGCTAAATCTCTTAATTGGTTACGTGGGGTCCAATAAGATGGCAATAGCTCCACCTGATCCATGTAGATCTGTTCCGAGGGAGAGCCCTATAGCGGTATTCAAGCTAAACCCACAGAGAGGCAGAATTACCAGTGTATGCAATTCTCCCTACCCTCCCATCGCCCATCCGCTAGGAGCAAACCCAGGGACACATATCACTCCACCACACCCCGGCCGGTACCAGCCCTCTGCCCCAGCGCGGCGCGCGGGATTCCCACAGCCCCGCTTCCAAGACCCAGCGTGTGCAGCCACTGCGCTAGCCCCCGGGCAGCCAAGTTTTTCAAGGCAAAGTCCAGCTTGCCCAGCCCCAACTCTTCCCCCCTAGCCAACCACAGCGGGCGCTCCCGAGGGGCTGGGCAGAGTTCTTCTCCCGCCCGCAGCCATGGCTCTTGCCCGCCCGTTGCATGGCGATGGCAGGCAGCAGCGGTTCGCTAGCGAGGCAGGGAAGAAGGAGCTGTACTCACCATGTGGAGCAATCCCTCTCGTTAGAGCGGGGAGGAGAGCGGACACCGCGCTGCCTGGGACCTTGCCAGCCTCATCCCCCTCCGGCAGCGGGAGCATGGGAGCCAGCGGCGCAGGGGTGGGAGGCTGCTCCGCCCGCTGTGCCCCGTCCCCGAGCCGCGGGAAGCCTGGCAGCCGTGTGCCGCACGCCCAACAAAAGTTCCTGGGAACGCCGAGGAGTTCAAGGGCTGGAGAAGAGCAGCCCCCGCCAGCCGGCAGGTCGGAGCCCCCTTCTCCGCCCCTGCCCCGGGAACTGTAGACTGCCCTGGAGCTGCCCGGCGGAGCTCGCCCCGGGGCGAAGGGGGAGGAACTCCTCCGGCTCCACTGCAAAGCTCGGCGAACGGCAGATCAGAGAAGGGGAGCCAGGACCCACGCTCTCCCTGGAACAAGTCAGCAGCAGCCGCTCAGGGTTTCCTGCCAGCCCCGCTGCACCGCCGGGTCTCCCGTCTGCCCAAGCCACTTCTTTGCATTAAACTTTTACTGGGGCTCCGGGAAGCTGCAGGACGTTCCCTGGCTCTCAGCGACGAGACGCTCTGCAAAGGCTGCGCTCCTGGCTGGCCCCAGCTTTCGTTTTATTTTAGATGAAGCCGTGGAAGGTACTCGGAGGGGACATAAATCACGACAATTAGCAGTGGCGCCGAGGAGATCTTCTCCTACCAGTTTCGCCGGAGCTTCCTCCGCGCATTCCTCTGCTCAAGTCAAAAGTGTCACTGCATATAGCGTTGATGGCAGGGAGATGAGCCACATGGAAAGTCCATCGGATGAAATATACATGCCAGCGATTCTTCTGGATTGGAAATCTCCCGTGCCTCCTCCTCAGCATCAGCGCGGACCCTGCATCGCAAAAGGAGCTCTCAAACTTAAGGGCAGGACACTATTATGGGGGATGAAACCTCAGAGAGGTGGCAGGGACGTTTCACTTAAAAGCAATCTTCTCCTGCAACTGCCAGCAAGTAGAGGGATTGCAAACCTTATACCACCTCCAGACCTGAGCGCGCCGAGCGGTCCTAACGCCGTTTAGATCTCCATCTTTCTCTCCCGCATTTCCGTGCCTGCCACTCGCACAAGTCCCTTATTAACTCATGACACCGATTATATCTCCTGCTGCATTCCCCCCTTGCACCTCCTTTTTGTTCCTTAGGAAAAGCCTTTAAGATCTTGGGCTTAAAAGACACTAAAGCCTCAGCCTTCAATCAGAAATGGACTAAAGGGTCAGGGTACAAGTTGGATCTTGCCGATTTTTAGCCCAGCCTTCCAAATTCCATGAAGAACAAGCCTAGCTGTTCCAATTGCACCAAATACCCTGATACATCCCACCTCAGTTGCATTGCCAAACCCTGGATCCATCAGGTGGGTCCTGCTGGATCCTGGCAGGTTTTAGCCCCATCTACCTATGTTTCATGCCTGATCAGAAAACATGTTTAGCTGTTATTAGTGCACCTTAAAAACCCTGAAGCTTCCCAGTACAACAGTATCACAAAACTCAGGTTCAGCATCTGGATCCGGGCAAAATTTGGTCATAAAACAAGACATTGAAGGACCACAAAACATTCTGGTACAAGAAAGAATCAAAAACTATAATTTGGCACCCATCGCCTTTTACTGGGTCTGCATACTCCCCAGTTTTACCATCTAAATTTAGGTCATATGCAGCTTCTCCTAATCTATCAAAATAATCCAGATCACAACCCACACCCATCCCGACCTCCCACACCCATCTGGTAACTGAATCTGGCTGGATCGGAGTTCTGTTGACCATGGAAGTCTCAAGAACTGGACTTTTTCTGGAATGACAGGAGCAGCTAAACATTCTCTATTTCGGCAAGAACCCAGCAGGGAGGGCTTCAAGATTTTTTGTGAAGGAGTCAGGAAGAGCCCTACTGCAGCTAGAATGATTGAATTTGTCCTTATCTAAAGCATCAGCTGAAGGCAAACCTGAGGCTGCATAAAGTATAGTTCTTTGTCAAAACTGCATGCAAGTTGTGATTTGTGATAGGACAGCAGGTGAAATCCAGTGGTTTGGACTCATTTTCTCTTTGAGTTTTTATATTTGTTAGAACTAGAAGCTTAAACTATATGTGATTGAAGACCCACAAAGAAAAAGAAAATGTTTGCATAAACGCCAGTGAAACAAAACTGCTGAGTTTCACACAGCTCCATTGTGAATAGTGCCTAACAGAATGACCATAGGTACTGAGACTGTGGAACTCATTGCCACAAGACATCAACACCAGAGTTTAGCAGGATTCAAAAGAAGATGAGACATGTATATATGGATAACAAGAAAATATCCAGAGTTTTAACAACAAATATGGGGGGGGGGATCCCAACCCCCTAAGAGCTTTGGATGTATATAAATGTGAAAATTTTAGGACTTAAACCAATATCTAATCATGGGGGGATAGGGTGAAACTTCCCTGCAGATTAGGTTCTCTCATAATTGCCTACAGCAGGGTTTCTTACATCTTGCTCTGAAGCCTTTGGTACTGGACTGTCGGACAGAATACAATAGAACCTCAGAGTTATAAACACCAGAGTTACAAACTGACCAGTCAATCACACACCTCATTTGGAACGGGAAGTACACAATCAGGCTGCAGCAGAGACCAAAAAAAGCAAATACCGTATTGTGTTAAACTAAACTACTAAAAAATAAAGCGAAGGCAGAATTTTTCTTCTGCATAGTCAAGTTTCAAAGCTGTATTAAACCAATGTTCAGTTGTAAACTTCTGAAACAACCATAATGTTTTGTTCAGAGTTATGTACATTCCAAAGCTACAAACTCCATTCCTGAGGTGTTCATAACTCTTAGGTTCTACTGTACTGAACTAATTAGACCACTGGTCTGACCTAGTATGGCACTTTTAAGTAGGGTATTTATCCACAGCAATGACCTAACTGCAACAACACACACCTCGACTATAGAAGCACTATCCTTGTTTGCAAACCTTTCAGTGAAACTAGGCCGAGTTTGGAATTTGTAACAAAACCCTAATCAAGTTTTGCATGATTTCAGGCTGTGTTGTGGCCATTGCACACATCTCTAAATGTCATCCCATGGGCCATTATGAATATTCCATTACCTGAGCTATCCTGTGTCTTTGTCTCTAAGGAAACTGTACAGGTATTTGTGTATTCCCCATGTCCAGTTACCTACAACTCTCCCAGTGGGATGGAGCAGAGAGTTACTGTGCCTATAAGTATTTAGGGACACTGGGAATTTTGTCGTCTGAAAAATAGCATTTAAATCTATCAGTATTTGAAGCCCAAAGCTCCATGAAAGAATTAGACATTGGTGTGACAGGGTACCTGTATCTTGGGTGCTGTCATCCTTCACACTGGAGGAGGGCTGATGCCCGACTGACCCACTGCACAATGGCAACTGCTGCATACATTTTGGGCTTGATTTTCCCCCTCCCGCACGCTGTGCAAACTCAACATCCACTGAAGTCAATGAGAACTGAGAGCACTCAGCACTTTATAGGAGGTGTGAGCAGCTTAGAGGGGCAAGCCCTTTGTTGGAAGAATGGCTCAGGTGACGGTCCTATGGTCCTTTGTGCAGTGCAACTTTCTACTCCACACTCTGCTATGCAAGGAGCACACACTATTCCAATGCATTGAGCACACACTGCTAACTCTCCAACTGGCAGCTGAAATAGACTTTTTTTGAACAAAGCAGTAGGCAGACTGTGTGCAAGAGAGCAGGAGGAGGGTTGCTAACCTGCTCCCCCTCCACAACCACCCAGCTATAGTTGAGGCAAAGGGTGCAAATCTCCAAACAGCAGCAGATTTCCCCAAGGGCAGAGCTGGCCTGTCTGCTTTCTCATTGCTTTGCCCATAGTAGTTTAACCTCCAATACAGTCAATCGATCAGTGATGATTTGAATGTTGATCTGGGCTTGCACCTTTACTACCTCCAGCTGCTTCATTTTTAGCTCCCAGTGGAAGAGGAATGTTTGAAAAATTGCACTGGAGATACGTGAACAAATCAAGAGGTTACTACATTCAGTAGGAAGGGCACAAACCCCTAAAACTGTTCAGTGAAACAGCAGAACAGACAACACTCAAAAAGACATTTACTACCCCACTGCCACCACAGGGGCAGGGGACGGAATGATATACCTCATCTCTGCCTGTGGAAACCTCCATCACACAGGTATGCTTTGTAAAAAGTTTGCTCTGAGAAGGGATAGATGACAATGACAAATACTGGAGGCCACAAGTGCCTTCTGTAGAATAGGTTCCCATCTTTGCTACCATTTCCAGAGATGACCAGTGTTAGCAATGCTGGGAAATTTTAGTGGAAAAGGCACAGAGTGCTATTGAAAGCCTTCTAGCCAATGTGTAACTTAATCTGTCTGGCCAGCTGGGAGTCTGATATTGCACTGATGCACAATACATAAAGAGGTACGCTAGTCTGACATTTTACTCCTTCCTATGTTTTCATGCAGTTTGATAATGACTTGTTCCCCTGAGAGGGAAAGGAGATCTTTCCCAATCTTGTTTCAGGGATAAGAGTTTCTGTGTGCTGGACATCTTGGTGTGAGATCTCTACATTGGGTATGTACAAACCCCAAGAAAGACTGTCTAATAAACCTCATTGGGACAGCATGGAACATTATTATTCATTTCTAGGGTTTGGATAGAAAATGAACCATTTCAGACCTATTGGAAGGAATGGTTTTTATTCTTATGCAGTTCACTGGAGTATAAGGCCCAAGAATTCCATAAATTAAACTTTTAGAGAAATGGAGAAATCAAGCTCAGTGTACAAAGGGTTAAAATTAAGTATCAAATTTTTGATAAAAAATACATATAAAGATTTGATTTCTACTCCCAAAATATCAATGAAAAAGTGTCTTGTTCTAATAATAAACACTGGATCCCTGCAGTGTCCAATAACAAACACATGACACTATGTACAAAGACTTGACAATTTTTCAGATTTTGCTTTAGCAGTTTGTTTTCCAGTGAATGTTAACATTTTCTGTATGTATTGCAACAATTAATAAAATGTCACATGCCTATAATTGTGAAATCGAATCCCAGATATACATACATGTGTCTTCTAAAGTGGCATTCCTGTACTATACTTGACTTAAGCAAAGTGGTTGCATGTATTCTATTTTCTGCCTGTGGTGGTTTGGTGTCTCATCTCATCACACATAGAAAACAGAATACATGCAACCACTTTGCTTAACCCATGTGTAGTACATGAATGCCACTTTCAATGGGGAACATGGATCAGTGTTCATATCACACTCCCTGTCAGTACCCGACCAAAGCCGGGGGGAGCTAATGATCCAACCAGCTGAAACAAATTTGGTGATGAATCCTGGTCACGTGCCACCTGACACATGTTGCACATATACTAAGAAGAAGGTGTCTCAACAAATATTCCATTAATCTGTTTTTCTTTTAAAAGAGTGAATTCACCCTTCAATTCATACTTTAAAAAAAAAAATAGTCAACCAGCCTTTTAAAAAAAGATCATGCTCGGAACACAGTCTTTGTAACTAAAAACAGGATATAAATCTAGGGATTGTAGCCCATACTGTGCACCTGCATAGAGGAGTAAAGAGATATAAGACAATTCTTTGTCTACTGGACCAAATATCTGCTAGGTGGTGAAGAAACAGCCTCCACAGAGCCACACTTCACCTCCTGGACAGGTTGGTTGGAAGTGGACAGGCAGGGGCTCTGTCCTTCCCATGCGCAGGCCCAACTGTACCAGGGATGAATGATATTATGCTATGTGCAGGGCTTGCCCTTCCCTTCTCTGGAATTAGGGGAAATCAGGAAGCAGATTGAGACACAATCTACTTCCCAGTCTGCTGCTAGGTAAATGCAATTCTGTGCTGCCTCACATACAGGGCTTGTGCCAAACCACAGTCTACCTTATTATTCTGAAAGTGAAAAAAGTTCTTAGCTGGTGAAACTTTCATCTTTCGCCCAAGTGGCTTTACTCTGAGTCTACATTTCTAATACTATTTATTGCTCTATTTTAGTAATTATTTATATAATTACATACACATACACACATTATTTTTAACCCTAATATGAAAGGTAACACAAAAATAAAGGGAAAAAAC